CAGCTAAAATTATTATGAGGAACTGAATAACTATTATAATAGCTAATTATCTTAGGCAAATGGTAACTATAAAAAAGAGGTGCAATCAGGCTGTCTGCTCAACTGCAACACTAAGGATAGTTCTGGGAACATTTTCATGATGAGTGAAGGACCTTGGAACAGTAATACCTTTGTGGAAACAATTTTAGAAGACTGGAAACTGAATAAGGTAAAGCTGTGTAGTCTATACGTTTCAGGGGAGAAGGAATTACATTGGGCTTCATCCAGTCTGAACATGACTTGTGACAGAGCTAGATGAGGTTTTCTAAAGAGGAACCATAACAAGAATAAGATGGTACTACTGATGAGGTCACATGAATTTAGTTTGGGAAAATGAAGGCTATGAGGGATGATTATTTTATGATTATGAATGTCACATACACAAGAACCTAGATTTTTTTCTCATCCAAATTTGAAACACTCGGGCCAAAGATGCCTTTACAAACTTGAAAAAATTTAAGGGGAACACATTACACAGTAGAGGTAGTATAGCAAAATGATTGAGAACATGACTTGTGAAAGTCAGACTGCCTGTGTTCATAACCCAACTCTGTCACTTACCAGCTGTGTGACCTGGGGCAAATTTCCTAATGCCCTATATCTCAAGGTTTCTCAACTGAAAAATGGAGGTAATAACACAACCTAGCTCACAAAATTGTGGTGAGGATTTGAACACATGCAAAGTACTCAGGAGATAAAAGGGTCTGGTACATGGTAAGCTCTCGATAAATTCTAGCTCTTTACTACACTTCTAGAAGTCATCACAAAAATTGTGAAACAAATTGATTTTGTAAAGGTTCAAATATGTTTAGGAATGGGAAATCAATATATGGCTATGAACAGAACTGGGACATACCCAACTTTAAGGTTTGTGATGTCTGGACAGGATGACCCCTAAGGCAATGCCCATTTTCCTTAAGTTAACTACTCTAGGAAGTAATGACTATTAGTTTTGGTAGCTTTTTCATTACTTTTGCAAAGGCATAAAAGCAATATGGGAAAAAGGGATAGAGAGGAGAGAATCAGATCTGCAGGCAAAGTGATATTCTCAGAAATACCATTGTGATCAGATGTGCTAATGTGGTGACGCTCCCGTTTTTGGCTGAGTTCTTCTAGGATTTCACATCTATTAAAAGGCAACAGGTAGGGGGTGGTTGGCTGGCCCAGCACACCGCCTTCCATTATGGCACTTTCCCCTTCACCCACTGTACTCCACAAAGGCTGCCTTTCGGTTCCAGGACCAGGCTCTTTCCTGCCTTATCCCCTTCTGTCTGGAACACTGTACCTTCTTCACTACCTTTGTGTGGTTACTTCTTCCTTACCCTTAAATTCCCAACTTAAAAGTAGCCACTCCTGAGGCCCTTATAAAAAGTAGGTCTCAAAATATATAAAGAGCTCATGTGCCTTAACAAAAAAAAAGCAAATAATCCAATTAAAAAATGGACAGAGGATCTGAACAGACACTTCTCCAAAGAAGAACTTCAGATGGCCAACAGGCACATGAAAAGATGCTCCACATTGCTAATCATCAGAGAAATGCAAGTTAAAACCACAGTGAGGTATCACCTCGCACCAGTCAGGATGGCCAACATCCAAAAGACAAACAACAAATGCTCGCGAGGATGTGGAGAAAGGGGAACCCTCCTACACTGCTGGTGGGAATGTAAATTAGTTCACCCACTGTGGAAAGCAGTATGGCGGTTCCTCAAAAAACTAAAAATAGAAATACCATTTGACCCAGGAATTTCACTCCTAGGAATTTACCTTAAGAATGCAGGAGCCCAGATTAAAAAAGACATATGCACCCCTATGTTTAATGCAGCACTATTTACAATAGCCAAGAAATGGAAGCAACCTAAGTGTCCATCAGTAGATGAATGGATAAAGATGATGTGGTACATATACACAATGGAATATTATTCAGCCATAAGAAGAAAACAAATCCTACCATTTGCAACAACGTGGATGGAGCTAGAGGGTATTATGCTCAGTGAAATAAGCCAGGCGGAGAAAGACAAGTATCAAATGATTACACTTATCTGTGGAGCATAAGAACAAAGCAAAAACTGAAGGAACAGAACAGCAGCAGAATCACAGAAACCAGGAATGGACTAACAGTTACCAAAGGAAACTTAATCTTTAATCTTGAGTTCAAGTCTCAATCATTCCTGGGGAATGTGGGGTTGGGGGATAAGGGAGGGGTAAGGGGATTAAGGGGCATTATGATTAGCACACATAATGTAGGGGGGGCACAGGGAAGGCAGTATAGCACAGAGAAGACAAGTAATGATTCTATAGCATCTTACTATGCTGATGGATAGTGACTGTAATTGGGTGTGCAACAGGGACTTGATAAGGCGGGAATCTAGTAACCACAATGTTGCTCATGTGATTGTATATTAATGATACCATAAAAAAAAAGGTCTCATTATTTTGTCTCAGCACCCAGTTTGCCTCCTGCACAGCCTAGCACTTACCACAATTTGTAATTATTTTATTTATTTGTTTTTAATATCCTCCCCACTAAATAGCTCCAAGATGGCAAATAAACATCTATGTTTAATATATCATCTTAAGTTAAGCGTAATACATGGACTAGCACAGAGCAAGCACTCAAAAAATATCTGTTTAATGAGTCATGAAGCAATGACTCCTAGGATCCCTTTCCACTAAGATGAATTTTTATCAGATAACATAGAAAAAATTCCCAGTGTAAAGAGGGAGTTGTTTATTTATGGGTCTGGAAAATAAGTAATGCCTTACTATGATGAAACTAACCAGATGGCTCCATTCCAAGTTTAGTTAAAACTTGACTGATGTAATGTATTAGTGACTAGCACCTTCCCCAACAGTGACTTTGTAAGTTTTGTTTTCAGATTTGCCTTACGCATTCTAACAACTGGTGTTGTAGGCCCAAACTTTTGTCCAATAATGAATTGGTTATATAACAATTATTTGAGATTAAAAACACAGATTTTAAAATCAAAACCCCAGAAGATTCTTATTTAGTACTTGTGTAATGAGGCTCTAGAATCCAAATATTTACAACTGTGCTTATTTTGAATAGATAATATATGTGTGTAGAATAAAATCCAAAGGTACCAAAAGGTGTATAGCAAAGCCTCTCTTCCACTCCTGTCCTCTGTCCATCAAGTTCCCCTTTCCATAAACTACCAACTGTTACAATTTCTTATGTATTCTTCCAGATAAATATTTACCTAAGCAAGCATGTATAAATTCTTTGTTTTAAACACAGTCCCCTATTTAAAAAGAACTGTTCTAATTTTGTGTTTTCTATTCCCACGTAACAATGTATGTTGAAAATGAAGTTATCTGTATTTTTAACAAGTATCCTAGGGGATTCTCATTTGAAGCCAAATACAGGAATCATTCAGGGTTAGGAGGTAAGTTCAACTCACTGATACATTGGAAAATCAAGGACATTGAAAAGATGCCCTCAAAAGTAGCCTTGCTTACTTGACCCCTGCCCTCATCTCTTCAAGATGAACTAAAACATTCTCTAATGTCTCCATAGAAGCCAGGAAAAAATTAACCCTTCAGACGGATTTTCCCAAAGTTGTTCGGTTTTTAATTTCTGTAATCCTTTCACCTGACCCATTGTCACCTGAAATCACAAACCTGACAATTTTTATGTTATACAAGACATTTGTTATTTGGGTTATAGCGACGTTTGACCTACACTGAGCTAGAGCTGATTTTCTCTCCCAGCGGTTAAGTAGTTTAATGGAGCACAACCGAAATACTTACCTTACTAATCCTGACTGACACAACCGTGTGCAGTCCTCCCCTGGAATTGTTTTCTTGGGCAATAGCAATTTACTTAGAAACTGTTGAGAACATTAATTGTCAGGTCGAACTTGGTGAATTCTCTTGTTCGGGCTCCAGTAGACCCGACTTCACCTCTATCTGGGGGTACAGGCAAGGCCCCCGCGCAGCGCTAGCTTTCTCTTCCCACCTACCCCAGACACTGCAGAGTTTCTTTTTGGTACAGAAGGAAGGCTCTCGGAGGGCCACCCAAGAATCTCCTCCGCAGTGTCCCTTTCCTACTCTGGGCACCGCGCGGGAGGCATCCCCACCTCCCCTGTACTGCACTGGGGAAGGAGGGTAGAGGCTCCCAAGCGAGGCAGGGGACCCGCCGGGCTCCAGCGCCGGCTTACACCTCGCGGCTGAAGGGGCTCTTAAGGGCCAAGGGAGGGCGTGACTCCTCCGTCCTTTCTCCCTAGATTCAAACATTAAGACGGGAGAGTGGGGCTTAAGGGGCCAAACCTCAGACCCCTCCTTTTTCCATTTGGGCTTTTCTCCATTCTCTGGGCCCCGCATCTCCCCTTGAGCGGTGGCCAGGCTTCTTCACTCGGCCGGCCGGCCCGGCCCCCTCTCGCCCACCTCCGACCCTCCGCCAACGCCCTCACCCAGCATGATGGGGCTGAGCCGCCGGGCCAAACCCTTGGACAGGTCGTACACGTAGAGTTTCACTGGATAGACATTCGGCGCCTCCATCAGGACCCGTGGCGGTGGGGGCTACGAAGTCCCTCGGGCACCCGGCAACAGCTTGGACCTTCCCGTACCTGACGGGGGTGTGGTGCGGAGGGAGCGGGGGAACCGAGCCCGGACCCGGCCTGAGGGGCGGGGGAAAGGGGGTCTTGCGCTGCTCGCACCCGCGCACCCGCGTGCCTGCCACCGGCAGCGACTACTGAGAGGTGACAAGCGGGGACGGGCAGGGTCCGCGCGAAAGAGGGGACGTCGGCGGGGACGCACTCTCGCGCATGTGCTTTCGGTCCAGACGGGCGGCGAGGGGCGGGATTTTTGTGGGATGGGGCGGGGCTTTGGCGGACACTGTGGTGATAGTTTGGCAAGTGTGTTGAAAGCGGGCGGCCGGGGCAGGCGTGTCAGCTGAACGCGACAGTGCACATAATGCGTGATGACGTTAGGGGCGTTGATTGGGCGAGAGAACCGGAGCCCGCGCATGCGCGACGCCCGGCCTCGAAGACGTTGCTTTCTTCCTTGAGGCAGGTAGGCGGTTTGGAACTGCTCTCTGTGCTGCGGGACTGTTGCGCGCTGGCCAGGGCTCACCTCCACGTGTTTCGCCCACTCAGTCTTGCGCGTCCCCCTAGCCGCGCCGAGGGTAGTGTCAGCCAGAAGTGTGCGGACCTGAGCGATGAAGACAGCCTCCGGTTCCGGGTCTTTCTTTTCGGTGGAGGCGGCAGCCGGCCTTGGGCATGGCTGGTCAGGGGCTGAGGGAAGTTTTGAGGGGAAAATGAGAACAAGTGGGTCCGCGAGAATGACGGAGTGCCCTGGAGTGGGAATTTCTTAATCCAGATGGTGCTGGAGGTGGGAAGGGACCTCCAGGTCGGGCCGCCCCGGCGCTCGGACCTCCAGAGCGGCCACCCCCAGCCCTTGAGAGAGAGCCAAGGTGAGGCTGCGGCTGGAATGATGCCCATGCCTATTTCCTTGTGCTTCTCAGTTAGCGAGAGCTCGGCGAGGCAGCAGGATCCGGCAGCCACACCCCTCCCGAGTCATCCCAAGCCCTTAGGACGGATCCCAAAAGAACCTAGGACTCGATTTTTTAGGATTAAATTTATTCGTTGCTGATCTCAACTTTCTTTCACCTAGTGATCAGTAATCAACATGTCAGGGTGGGACTCTTACTACAAAAACGAGGGCCATGAAGAAGAAGAAGGAGAAGAAGAAGAAGAGGGCCTTGAAGCAGGCAGTAAGTGACTTTAACACGTACTGCTCTGTGTGTAGATTTTCCTTGGCATCTCTGCTGGGTAACCTTTGTGGTCCAATGGCCCACGCACGGTTCTCCCCCCAGGGAATTTCAATTACACTGCAGAGTTACACTAGGTGTTCAGGTCCTTCTTTAGTCTATGGGACATTCCTAGCCTTAAACTTTTACTGGGCACTGACATCTACTGGACTCCAATAGGTGACCTTGAATATTGGTATCCTTTGTCACCTAGGTGGTTCAGGTAAGCCCCTTTCTCATCCAGGAAGGTAGTTTTACTCACTCTAGGACTTCAGTGTAAAAATGCCTTTACCTTACAATAACTAGCAACCAAAGAATAAACATTAACAACCTAGTAACAAGAATCATTCACTCAAAGTATCCTCCAGGTTTGGGAGTATATGTACAGGCAACACAGTCATTTATAGGACAAAGAAAGAGAAAAGTGGTATGTGTAATCTACATCCTGGCTAATTTAAGTCCTGGGATAAAAGTGAGAAGCATAGGAAATTTAAAAAATTAATAAAGAGAAAATTTATTTAAAAAAAAATCTATTATAATCTACATAACCTACCCCCCTAACAGAGCTGCTACCAGCATTTTGGCATTTTGCATATTTCCTTCATAGATCTTTCATTCTGATATTTCCTGGCTACTTATGTCTGTTATTTTTATGTATTTGGTTTTTTAAAAAGTTGGAATCCCAGTGCATATAGTACATTTTTTTCATTTTAATTTACACCAGTCTTTTTGCAAAACTAATTTTAAACATGTATGTGTAATTTTCTGTTCTTTTTTCCTTACTGTATTATAGATACATCTTTCCATGTAACTACTTAGTCTTTGTAACTCAAATGTACTGTAACTTATTCCATCTACTTGTTATTGGACATTTTAGGTATTTTCAGTTTCTCATTTTAATAAACAACATTGTGGAAAATTTATAAGGGTTTTTACCATATCTTATTTTCTTAAGATAACAAATTAATTGCTAAGAGGTAGAATTTACTGGGTCAAGCTAGAATTTTTGTTTAAGTCTCTTGACACATATTCCCATATTATTGTACAAAAATGGGTAATTAAATTTATTGTATTAAGAAGCAGCCATGTCAAAAAGGGAGACAACCAGACATAATAAGCCTTTTTATGAAAACCTCAACACCACCTATGATGTAATCATGATGGAAAAAGAAAAAAGAAAACCTGAATCTGATGAAGTGTCTGTAGGTCTTCAGTAGGAAAGACAGACGACTATGTTAATCTACACTAAAGGAATTTTGTGGTGGTATGTGTAGGTTACATAATCAAGAAGCTGGAAAACTATATGCCACAACATCCTGATTCTTCAACAAGTAAAGAAGAGACAGAAGATGGAATGGGTATCTGTAGAGTAAGAGGCTTCAAAAACATTTTTTTTAAAGGCTAAGTAATGTTTACAAATGTTCAATTGTATGATTGAACTATATAGAAAAATAAGGAACTGATTACTAAAAGTCAGGATAGTAGTTAACTCTTGGGGAGGAGGGTGGGCATTGTATTTGGGAGAGAACATGGGGAGGGCCTCTGGGGTGACTGGCAAGATTCAATTTCTGATGTGGGTTGTAGTTTTAAAGGTGGTCATCTTATAATAATTCATCAGGTTATACTTTGCTTAATGGGCTTTTCTGCTATTTGTTTTATATGAACAATAAGCATGATAACTATGAATACAAGGGCAAACATTTCCTTCCATTTTTTTCCCTGTAGGAGAATATGGATATTCAGGAAGAGATAGTTTGATTTTTTTGGTTGATGCTTCTAGGGCCATGTTTGAATCTCAGGGTGCAGATGAATTAACTCCTTTTGACATGAGCATCCAGGTAAGACTACCTTTTTATTTCATTAAAAACAACAACAACAAAAGGTATTAATACTACTCTAAAAAAATATGGACTCTCTGAAAAGTCTGTGAATGAGTAATGGTGGTTAGCCTCCCAGGATGGTTACTGATACTGGCAACTGACAGAGAGTAGCACGGTTGGAGAGCAGGCTCATTTTATTCTGGTTTGAACTTCGGACCCTAGGAATACATTGTGTCCACCTCCTGCATTTGCCCCAGTAGTAGAAATGGGCTGCTCCTTCTGTAGAGATGAGTGTAAAGGAAGAAAGGAAGTTCTGGAAATGATGATGTGGAAATGAGTTCTCTTATCAGTGATATTTAGAAGTTTAATATTATCTGTGGTTGAAAAAGATTAATATGACAAGAAGACAACCTAATTTAAAGAATGGGCACAGGACTTGAATGTATATTTCTCTAGAGATATATATATGGCCAACAAGCACATGAAAAGATCCCCGACATCTGTAGTGTTTGGAGAAATGCAAATCAAAATCCCAGTGAGGTATCACACCCACTAGGATGGCTATACTTTTTTTAAAAAAGAACATTAGAATTGTTCTCGAGGATGTGGAGATACTTGAACCCTCATATATTGCTGGTAGGAATGTGAAATAGATCAGCTGCTGTGCAAAACAGACTGGTTGTTTCTCAGATTTAAACAGAATTACTGTTAACCCAGTAAGTCCTGTCCCAGGTGTATTCCCGGTAGAATCAAAAAGAAGTACTTAAATCCTGATTCTGCTGCTTACAAACTGTATGGCACTAGAGTTGCTGAACATCTTGTGATCTGTTTTCTCCTCTGTGAAATGGAGAGAATAATAGTACCTACCTCACCAAGTTGGTGTGAAGATTATATTTTTGTTTTATAAATTGTATAATTCACAAAACATAAAATTAATCCTTTTAGATGTATGAAGATAGTCATTAACAGTGTTGTGCAACCAATACCACTTCTGTCTCATTTCAGAACATTTTGACTGGATAAACAAAACTCATATATACTGTTTTTATACATAATACTATCCAGCCAAAAAAAGGAATGAAGTACTGATACATGCTGTGAGGTGAAGGAACCTTAAAACTGTATATTAGAAACTAGACAGAAGATCATATATGTTGCTATTTATCTGAAATATAAAATAGATAATCCAAGAGAATGCAGGTGTGGTGGTTACCGGGGGTCAGGGGGAGGAAGGAATGGGGAACAACTGCTTAATGGGTATGGAGTTTGCTTTTGAGGTGACGTGTTTTGGAACTAGATAGAGGAGATGATTACAAAGCACTGTGAGTTTGTTAAATACACTGAATTGTTTGCTTTAAAAAGGTTAATTTTGTTATGCAAATTTCACCTCAGTTGAAAAGATTACTATTACTTCTTAGAGAAGAATTTCTAAAGACTTACTATGTATCTCATGTCTCATATTTTTAGAGCTTGGAACCAAACAGAAGTGTCTCATGTTCTGATTTGCACACAAACAGTTCTTGCAGTTGGTAAATCAGAATATCTTGCATCTAGAAAAAAGAATTGATAAAAACAATCCGTAACTTCAAAGCTGTGGTTTTCAAACTTTAACCTACATCAGAATCACCTGGAAGGCTTATTAACACAGATTGCAGGACCTTATCCCAGAATCAGATTCTGATTCTGTAGGTCTAGAGTTGGGACCAAGAAATTGAATTTCTGTCAGGTTCCCAGGTGATGCTGATATTGCTGGTTTGGAGATCACTCTTTACCTCTTTTGGATCATGGACTTCTTTGAGGAGGTGATGAAAGCTATGTACCCTCTTCTCAGAAAGATACACTCCCAATTCTATATGTAATTTCAAAGGGTCCATGGAATCATTCCTTGATGCCTAAAGAACACAGAAGAAAATGTAGTACTATGTAGTGAGCAGGTGAGACATCCATGGGTGAGCAAAATGTACTTGATAAGAAGCAATGAAAAGCATTTTCTAAAATTCTGAGATTTTTGTTTTTGTTTTTAATCCTTAGAGCCTAAAAGAAGCCCTCACCAAATTTTAAGTTTGTAGATTGCTCAAATAATAGATGAAAATATTTATAGAAATAACAACTTGCCATGCAGATTATTGTCATTGACCAGACATGCTAAAAGTTCTGCATTTAAGGAGAGAATTGCTGTGGAGGAAGGCCAGTTAGAGTCTCAAGTAGGATGTGTAGGGGGTTTCGCCACGGTTGGTTTATTCCTCTGCTTTGCAGATTTGGAAACTTAATTTTGTCATTGTCCCCAGAATTAAAAAGACCACCAGGACTGATCAATTCTTATGAGATACTAATTTACCATATGCTGCCATTAGTTTAAATGGGTAGATAGAACTTTTCTGGGATATTAATATCTTTAATTGTGTAATTAAGCAAATTTTATTTCAGATGATGCTGTTAGTAGTTATAGGCTTACTTTCAGGTCACATATACTTATTGTTAGCTTAAATATTATATATGTAATTATATATGTAAATTCTGCTTCTTGGTATCAGGATGCTTGAGGAAAAATCAAGTAGTCTTTCCCAACTCAGCCAATTAAGTAAGTGATATCAGTGCAACTCATCCTAGGTTTTCTGGTTCCAATACGGGCTTTTTACCCCCAGAAGCAGAATTTCCTCCCCGAATATATATGTTTTTAATTCTCTGAATCTTATGGTAGGGACAGCTCATAGTTCTGTTATATACTTAACACGCTCTACTTTTTATTATAGCATTATATATATGCCCCTCATTCTCACTGAGTTCCCTGAAGGTAGGGGTCATGTCTTATTCTAATGCCATGTACAAATTCAGCAAATACTTATGAGCACCTACTCCATGCCAGGCACAGTTTAAGTTTCATGGCAAATAGTTAAATACTGAATTTTTATTTTATTTTTTCAGTGTATTCAGAGTGTGTACACCAATAAGATCATAAGCAGTGATCAAGATCTCCTGGCAGTGGTGTTCTTTGGGACCAAGAAGGACAAAAATTCAGTGAATTTCAAAAATATTTACGTCTTACAGGAGTTGGATACTCCAGGTCAGTAGTAGCCTAAGGTCACCCTTTCTGTTACACAAGAAGGTCACTATCCTGAACAGAAGGAAGCAGATGACATCTTGACTAAGAGTATGCTTTCCTGCACAAGGGGCTTCTTACTGAGATGACTTTTGCTGTATGAGCTCAGCAGCTCTGTGGTGGAGAACAGGGGCCCTTCTGTTAACCTCTCAAAGGCAGCCACTGACACTGTTTTGATTTTCGTGCCTGTTTGATTCCCTGTCTCTGATCAGGTGCTCAACGAGTGGTGGCGCTTGACGAGTTTAAGGGGCAGCAGGGACAGACACGTTTCCAAGACCAAATTGGCTACGGATGTGACTACTCACTAAGCGAAGTGCTGTGGGTCTGTGCCAACCTCTTCAGTGATGTCCAGGTCAAGATGAGCCATAAGAGGATCATGCTGTTCACCAATGAAGATGACCCCCACGGCAGTGACAGTGCCAAAGCCAGCCGAGCCAGGACCAAAGCCGGGGATCTCCGGGACACAGGTCAGCACTTCCTTGTTCTTCTGAATTGGCACTTACTTTTATTGCTTCTTTAAAGGTGATGGCAAACATTTGCTTTTCACCATTCAAAGTAAAATGAAAGAGTAAAGTGAAGCCGGTGGTGATGGTTGTGTCACCTTCCCACTGAGAATGGCCAGGCCATGGGCTGCCTAAAGCACTCCCCCAGAATTAAATGCTGCCATGAATGGTGGTCTGAAGTCATTATAGCAGCTGATTCCATTAGCCACTTTCCCTAAGTCCTGAAAATGTTAATAATCAATTGGGTTCTCTGGGGCCTTTTACAAGCATATTTGACCTGAAGTAAAAAAAAATTCTTCCTTGCTGAAAATGGTTCGTTTCCTCTCACGTTTGTCTAACTTTTCCCCAGGTATCTTCCTGGACTTGATGCACCTGCGGAAACCCGGGGGCTTTGATATATCCTTATTCTACAGAGATGTCATCAGCGTAGTGGAGGATGAGGACCTTGGTGTTCACTTCGAGGAATCGAGCAAGCTGGAAGACCTGCTGCGGAAGGTTCTGGCCAAGGAGACCAGGAAGCGGGCCCTGTGCAGGTGTGCACCAAGCCCAGACCAACACCATGAGTCCCCTCCTAACCATAGGCATTGCATCGCCTCAACCTCTCTGGCTGCCTAACTTTGGGCCGTGCTCCATTCTTTTCCTCTAACACACTTGCTTTGTTTCAGGATAGCACAAGCTGTTTGCTTCTCTGTCTCTAGAATGACCTGGTAGGCCATTACTCCAAAATAACACAGCTCTCCACTGCCTTGGGGTGAACCGCTGTGGCCTACCAGATTGGTTGCACTAACAGCGCATTGTCTGCATTCTTCTCATCTATAAGTTGGGGGTGGCTGCAGTACCTGGTCTAGAGCACAACTCAATTAATGTCAGCTATTATCAATCCTGTTAAAATTGTGTCACTCAGATTTCTTAAAAACTTGAGACTGTAGGAGCTAGATCATTAGATTATCTTCTATCTAGAGAGCTTTGCATTAGAATCCTCAGGGCTCCTCAGTGTTTCTCCCTAAGGAGCATTGGCTTCCATTTTAGACTAGTTTCCTCAGTATAGGGGAATATGACCATTGGTAGTTTTTGAGCAATTTTCAAGAGATTACTGACCACTTTCCTAGAAAACCCATGAAATTGTTTTAAGTACACTAAGAACCAGCTCACTGCTCCAGCTGTGGTTTCGTCATTGCTCTCCTTTTCTCCCTAGGAACTATTTCTCTTCAGACAAGCACCGTGTCCCTCTCTCCCCTTCCTGAAATAACAAGATATTGTTAATACTGTCATGTGGACATCCTCCACACATTTGGGTGGGGATGGCAGGGAGGATAAAAGAGCAGTTCAAAGTACGTCCTAGAATCGGATTGGCTTAGATTCTGGTCCTGGCCTCTCTGCTGTGTGACCCAGGGCAAGTCATGTAACTTCTCTGGGCCTCAGTAAAATGTGTGCAAAAATGGCACTGCCTCATAAGGATGGCTGTGATTAAATGGGGTAACCTAGACATAGTGCTTGGTACATAGAATTATTTATAAATGTTAGCTGTTCTGTTTGTGGAAGAGTTGTTACAGGATACTTGGGACAAGTAATAATATACTCGAGCTGTTTGAGAACTAATAATACTTAGGCCTAGGACCTAGAAAGTTATTAAACTTGTTCTTACTATAATCAGGTAATAGAATTATTTTATTTCATGGTTATTGTGTGCCAGGCACTGTCCTAAGTTCTTTGTTAACATATTAACTCTTTTAATCTTTGACTACCCTTTGAGGTAGGTTGAAACCTAACCTTTAGTAACATTTATTAACCTCAAAACATTTCAGATGAAGTTAAACATATTCAGCAACTTGCTTTACACTGTGGGCTTCTACATTTTCCTTGCTAAGGTATGACATTAACTATATGAAGTTACACTGTGACTTCATCTTAATTTAGGATGACATTAAGGTCAAAGGCGCTTTATAAGTATGAAAATTAAGACAGATTTGGAGGAGTAAAGGATTTGCTATTTTGTGTTAGAAATAGAAATAAGGTCACTTGAAGTCTGAGGCTAGAGTGGACCACATGGAAAAGTGCTCTTTTGCAGGATAATAAAATTTAGAGGACACAACAGTTTTTTTTTTTTAATGACTTTTGAAGATAGGGCAGGTTTTTAATTGGTTACATTTTTTGTCAGCTCTCCTTTGGCAGCCTTTAGACAACTGAGCTTAGCACCCAATAAGCCAGAGTAATTTAAGGTTGGAAGCGAGCAAGTGGTTGGTGTTAGTAATGCTCAGCTGTTACTCACACTCATCTGTGGGCCACATCATGCACTGCAGTTGATCTGAAGGTATATTAGGTGCTTGTCCAGGTACCAAAATTTCTAGTTAAGGCTCTGCCCTAAACCATGTGCTTCCAACTATTGTAAACCAATACAACTTGATGTAACTCACTTAGACATGTTCTCTTCTTTAAAGTATAAATACTTATAAATATTCCACAGTAGTGGAGATTAAGTTATTAACTTGAGACTTCTTTTCTGATAAAAGTATTTAAAGTTATAAACTTCCCTCTGAGCACTCTCTTAGCTGTGTCCTATAGCTTTTGAAATACAGTCTTTTCACTTTCATTGAGTTTAAATAATGTTGTTTCCCTTGTGATTTCTTCTTTGATCTCTTGTATTATTTAGACATATATTGTTTAATTTACAAATATTTGAGGTTTTCCTAGATTTCTTTCTGTTGTGGATCTCTGACTGACTTATATTTTGGTTAAAGAACATACTTTGTGTGATTTCAGTCTTAGATGTATTTAGACTTGTTTTGTGGCCTGGCATGTGGTCTATCCTAGCGAATGTTCCACATGTGCTTGAAAAGAATGTAAGATGGGTCATTTTTATGTTCTGCTGTTGTTCACAATACATACTGTAAATATTTTTGCACACTGTCATTGTAGAACATGTTTTCTAGAGGTCCTATTGCTGCATAAGAATTCTGTATAAATACTCTGGAGCATATATTGTAATGGAAAAGTATGAGCTTTGATTAACATTCTTCCAAAGCTGCAGTGAGGGAAGGTTTCATTGAGAAATAGTTTCATTGTTGAAAGAACAGAGAAGGGATACTAGACTAGCAGAAACAACAGATAATCAATAAGTACTTACAGAGTAATAATTATGACAATGACATGAGAGTAGTTATAAGGTGATTGGTTTAGTGCTGGGCTCAATAGTGATTTTTATTACACTTGTTTTATTAAACTTGTTCTTACTATAATCAAGTAATAGAATTATTTTATTTCATGGTTATTGTGTGCCAGGCACTGTCCTAAGTTCTTTGTTAACATATTAACTCTTTTAATCTTTGACTACCCTTTGAGGTAGGTTGAAACCTAACCTCTTCATAATTTTAGGCATTTATTATATTCTGAAACTGATTTTTGTGGTATAGACCCCAAGATGGTATAGCAAATGCCATTCTATTGTATTATTAAAATGCATTGTATTTATATTCTAAGAGCTTGAGTGCCATGAAGGAATTTTAGATGGAAAATAGAGCCTTTTGGTTTGTTCTTTAAAAAATTTTTCTCTCTTCCAGGTTGAAGCTTAAGTTCAATAAAGATATAGCACTCACTGTCGGCATTTATAATACGGTCCAGAAAGCAGTCAAACCTTCTCCAGTGAGGCTTTATCGGGAAACAAATGAGCCAGTGAAAACCAAGACCCGGAGATTTAATGTAAATACAGGCAGTTTGCTTCTGCCTAGTGACACCAAGAGGTCTCAGGTAAGTCTGCTCTCCTGCTGAAATTTGTCCCATTGGAGTTAACAGGGTGGGAGACATGATCAGCCTAACCAGTCAAATAACTTTCATGTGTGCCTCTTTCTAGCCAAGCTGTTAAAACACAAAGTCATTACCCTTTGTAACTGTGGTATCTAGGTTAGTGATACCTTGTGAGCTAGAAAACTAGAGCCAGGGTTTGAAAGAGATGTCAGTGAAAACTGCAGCCCTGGATCACCCCTGCTGGTGCAGCTCTGGGCCTGGCAGTCTAATTCCTTGCTCAAATACAATAGCAGAAAATGCTTTATATACTTAGCAAGGGAGAGGGAAAGTGTGTTAGGTGTGAAGTATACTCTTTTTTTTTTTTTTTTAGCAAGAAAAGACTTCTTTTTTGCTAAACCAAATTTTTCCTGTTCTTTGAAGTGATGCATGTATGCCTTTTTTCAAGGCAGATGAAGAATGCAGAACATTATCTTTCTTCATCCTCTCACTTTTGTTCACTCTGTGTAAGGATCTGATATCTAAAATTGAAGTCAAATGTCATCCTTTTTAATTGTGTGAAATGTGGGAAGAATCTGAGATATTGCATGAATTTTTGAACTTCAAAGATCAACTAAGTGATTGAAATATTTTGATTATTCAACTCATGAGACGTTTTTTTGAGCACAAACTTCAAGCAGTGTTTTGCCTTCCTTTCTGAAGACAACTAATTTCCTCTTCCATTCTGGAAGGAACTTGTTTTCCATGCTGGTTTATTCATAGGCAGGATGGTCACTAAGTTTCTTCCTTGATCTATTGTGCCTACCAAAAAAAACCTTGAGGGCTCTGTTTTTCAAAAAATTTAAATTTGACTCTGGTACCAATCACATGTCTAGGATCAAGATACAAACTTTGAAGACTGGGAGTAATTCTTTTGTGTGTGTGCATGCGTGTGCGTGCTCACACACCTCCCACACTGAGACCAGCACTGTACTGGCATGGGTCCTCTCAATAAACAGCTATAGTTGGAACATCCTCTGTGTCAGGGATGATGCTGAGAGTTCAGTGCATTTTATATATTTTATTTTTAATTTTTTGTGTGTGTGTCATTAATATACAATTACATGAGCAACATTGTGGTTACTAGATTCCCCCCATATCAAGTCCCCACCACATACCCCATTACAGTCACTGTCCATCAGCATAATAAGATGCTATAGAATCACTACTTGTCTGTGCTATACTGCCTTCCCTGTGCCCTGCCCCTGCTATATTATGTGTGCTAATCGTAATACCCTTTACTCCCCTTCTCCCTCCCTTCTCCCCACCCAGTCCCTTTCCCTTTGGGAACTGTTAGTCCATTCTTGGGTTCTGTGAGTCTGCTGCTGTTCTGTTCCTTCAGTTTTTGCTTTGTTCTTATGCTCCACAGATCGGTGAAATCATTTGGTACTTGTCTTTCTCCACCTGGCTTATTTCACTGAGCATAATACCCTCTAGCTCCATCCATGTTGTTGCAAATGGTAGGATTTCTTTTCTTCTTATGGCTGAATAATACTCCATTGTGTAATACTCCACATCTTCTTTATCCATTCATCTACTGATGGACACTTAGGTTGCTTCCATTTCTTGGCTATTGTAAATAGTGCTGCAATAAACATAGGGGTGCATATGTCTTTTTGAGACTGGGAAACTGCATTCTTAGGGTAAATTCCTAGGAATGGAATTCCTGGGTCAAATGGTATTTCTATTTTGAGTTTTTTGAGGAACCTCCATACTGCTTTCCACAATGGTTGAACTAGTTTACATTCCCACCAACAGTGTAGGAGGATTCCTCTTTCTCCGCATCCTCGCCAGCATTTGTTGTACCTATTCTTTTCTATGTTGGCCATCCTAACAGGCGTGAGGTGATATCTCATTGCGGTTTTAGTTTGCATTTCCCTGATAATTAGCAATGTGGAGCATCTTTTCGTGTGCCTGTTGGCCATCTGAAGAGTTCAGTGCATTTTAAACGAGGGAAGGAATAAATGCTTGAAAAGTATAGCTTTTAACAGCACAGAGGGACAAGTTTAAAGTCCAGTTCTGTTGTATTGAGCTTTAGTTCATTCATCCATAAAACAGGTCCTAACATCTACTGCCTAGGAGCATTACAGAAGATCAGTTGGATGGCAAAAGGAAGGTGCCTGGCAGGTACTCAGTAAGTGTTAATTCCCTGTGGTAGGTGTAAGATGCCCCCGTTGAGCCATCTTCCCACTCCTTAGAAAACAGCTGATTTTAACTTGGTAGTGTCATGTGGCAACTTTTTTCCATCCCCATGAGTCCCCTTACGTGGCCCTCATTTGTTCCCCTCCTTTAGACCTTTGGGAAGCGTCAGATTGTACTGGAGAAAGAGGAAACGGAAGAGCTCAAACGGTTTGATGAACCAGGTTTGATCCTCATGGGTTTCAAGCCCTTGGTGATGCTGAAGAAGCACCATTACCTGCGGCCCTCCCTGTTCGTGTACCCCGAGGAGTCCCTGGTGAATGGTAAGTGGCATGGACCAGGGGTAAATGGGTAAGTCATGCAGAAGGCCATTTTCTGAGCAGCATTTCCCAAATGGGTGCTGCTTGGAAGCTATCTAGGATGTGCTAGTGGGGTATATTGAAAGTGTTTCATGTGCAAATAAATTTTGGAAATGTGGGACTAAATGGAAGTTAAAGAGGTTTCTTTAGGACCTGTAATACACTGGTGTGCATTGTGAATATCCAGGAGGGGAAATGAGGTTAGCATTTTAAAATCTTATTTCCTATGGAATTCTTTCTTTGAGGCATCAGATAGTTGGAAAAATCAAAAATAAGACCAGCTTCTTCCCTTGTGTTGGCAATTAAGGGTGATATGAACTCAGATGTTTTGTTTATTTTTGCTGTCCAGACCTGTATTCCTCTGTGCTGTAGCTAATGAATGCCCTGGGTCTGACCTCATTGGTTCTTATTAGCAACTGGGCCTTATGTCATTAGCCTAATACAGTAAAAGTGAACTGACGGTAGGAAGTCACACTGCTAAATGGAGCATTCGAGGCATCCAACCTCATTCCTTTCCTTTCTAAGTCTCTGCTGCCCCCACTTTCCCCTCAGCTCTGGGTCCATCACCCCTTAACTACTGAAATATCATAAGCCCTTTTAAGAAAATGGGGGGAATTGTGGGCTAAGAGGGAAGGAAGGAGGAGCACCGTTAGGATGTAGACCCCTGGGATGTTTATTTTTCAGGGAGCACAACCCTGTTCAATGCGCTGCTCACCAAGTGTCTGGAGAAGGATGTTGTGGCAGTGTGCAGATACACCCCTCGCCAGAACATCCCCCCTTATTTTGTGGCCTTGATACCACAGGAAGAGAAGCTGGATGATCAGAAAGTTCAAGTGACTCCTCCAGGTATGTGGAAGAGAGATTTTCTGTGCTTCTGAACCTTGCTCAGCCTTCAGAATCACCCATGGGATTCCAACTCGGACCTGCTGAATCAGAGTCTCCTGGGAAATGTGTATTTTTTTTTTTTTTTTTT